ACACACACACACACACACACACACACACACACACACACACACACACAATTCCATCAAAACTAGATTTAGAATTCTACCGAACATGCCCTGTCCTTGCCTACATTGTCGTTTATGTCTGTAATATTATCCCTTCTTCCTCTTTGCCCGTTGAAATTTTATCCATTTTTAAAATACCAGTTCAAATGCCATGAAGCTTTCTCTTATCTTTTCATGCTTAAAAAGCACTTTGTTTTGCAAATCTACAAGGCACTTACATACAATATCATGTAACGTAGCTAAGTTTGTGTCTTTTCTCCCTATTGGATTACATGTTTGATGAGGACAGGACTATGTATTTAAATAAATTTTATATCTTCCTCAGTGCCTATCAGAGTAAGCAATAAATGTTTGACTGATTGAATTTTGGTATTAGCCCAAGTCAAACATATTTATGTAGCTAAATCTTCAAGGAAAAAGTAACCAAAAGCCAATTAGAAATGATTTTTCATTTATCTGCAGTGAAGCTCTTTTTTCCATAAGCACAAATAATTGAGAGTGAAATGTTTGCAGTCTTTGTATAATCCTTGAAAGTGACTTTTCATGTAAATTCCATGAAGGCAGTTACCATTTTTTCATATTTATCTCCCCAGTGCTTTGCACATAGGAGGCAACTGGTAAAAGTTTGTTGAATTGATAATAGTTCTGTTTAAAACCAGTGAGTTGCATTTGTAAGAGGAACCACTTTTTATCAGAACTTCTTGTACTCAATTTTATTATTATTACTGTTATTATTATTATCATTATTACCGAAGTCTTCCCAACCTCCCATATGAATTAAGATTTGAAACACCTATATTCCAAGGTATTGAAAATACCATAATTTTTAAACTGGACAGAGTCACTAGTTCCTTATCAGTCCTTTGTAGGTCCACATCTCTCTGTTTAAGTAGCTAAGTTCAAAACCTTTTTAATATCAAGTCACTGTGTCGCTGAAGCAGTTTTCATAGGCAGCGTGGTATTGTGCAAAGACCACTGGATGGAGTCTCATAACTCTGGGCCTTGATCCCTGGCTCTCATACTTACTAGCTGAGGGATCCAGGGAAAGTCACTTAACCTCTTTGTCATTTAGGTTTTATCCTCTGTAAAAGAGGATAGTACTTGCACTACTACCTTCACAAGATGGTTGTAAGAAAAGTACTTTGTAAACTATAAAGCTCTACCTTAAAAAAAGCTGGTCTTATTATTGTTACTAGGAAAATAGCCGCAGTGTAGGCTAAAAAATATTTATCTTAGTGTTGTCTTCCCCTGCCAAAGGAAGAACTGGACAAACATTTGTGTCAGTTGGGTTTATCCTCCCAGCTCAGCCACAATCTCAGATTGCTATCTTTAACTTCCAGTGGCAGATGAGAGAGGAATGATGCAGACCACCAGAGCCCAGGAGACAGATGTGGAAGGGGCTTAGGAGTAACAGATAAGCCACTCCTCTCGGTATGGGTATCTGAACAATTCTGGAATAATTCTGAGAGGCAGCATGATGGAGTGGAAAGGACCTGGAACTTAAAGCTGAAAGACCTAACAATGTGGTAGTAATGGGCAAATCCTTCCCTCACTTTAGGTCTCAGTTTCTTTTCTTGTAAGTGAAGGAGTAGATTCAATGAGTTATCAGGCCTCTTCCAGCTCTAGTGTTCTAGGTAGGAATTCTTCTGTCTGGGAATCCAAGAGTGGTGATGGGGACATTGCCTTTGCTGCACTTCTGCTGCCATCTGGTGGTTCAACTACATAGCACTGGGCCCATTTCCCTTTCAGTAGAGACAGGACTTAAAGATTAGGCTGGACCAGGGATGAAAGGGATGAAAAGGGATGAAAGTGATTTTAGGTTAGTAAGTTTTTATTGTCCTTACACTCAGGCAAAGTAGCTACTTGTCTATATGGTAAGATTTAGGGGGGGAACCTAAATACTGTCTCTGCTTGAGCCCTTTAACAAGGAATAAAACCTTTTACTCCATCATTAGAGAAAAGGTTTAAAATTAAAATGTGTGTACCCCTGGGAGAGGCAAAATATTGAATAAAATAATTCATACTGACATATGAGTGACTAGTTTTAGGATCTTCTTCTGAGAGTAAATTTGAATTCCCTAAAATTAGATAGAAGAGAGACTATGAGATTACTGGTCACTATAAAGGGGGGAGTATCATCAAAATGGGTTGAAGGGAGAGAGTATCAGTGTAAAATATTCCCTGCTTCACAATTCTGCTTAGGCTGATCCTGTAAGATATGTTCCTTTCCCGGAAGGGGCTTATTTTCTCATTGGTGAAGCCTTATACATTTGAAACAACTGAGAATTTGATATCATATTTAAGTACCAGAATGAATGCTATAAAATTGTGGAAGAGTTTAAGTCTCTTCAAATACATCCTCATGCTTGATAAGGAAAGCCTGAACAGGCAGGAAATCCCTCTCCTTAAAGATCTCCAAGGAGATTCCACAGTTTCCCTCCTAGTCTATTTGTAATGACCTCTCTCCCTAAATTATTGTCCATGAAGCTGATCTAATGACAACTGAGGCAGAGGAGAAGCCTGTATGAAATGGAAGAAAAGAAAACAGACCTCCAGGGATTGACATCTTGCATTCCACCAAAGGACCCAAATTCCACAGATGCTCTAAGAACATTTAGTAGCTGATCCAAGCTAGATTGGGAGAGTAAAAACTTTGTGAGTAGCGTCACATATGGGAGTAGATAGAATTCACATTCCTGTACCCTAAGGTTCTCTTCTCCACGAGAGTTCAGTACAGAAACAATGACCTGGTGATGCTTAGCTATTAACCCCATGTTTTATTTACTTTGCAGAAAACCACTTGGAGAATGCCAATAAGGCTATGTCAGAGGTAAATGAACTCTCTTCTCATGTAACTGCTTTGACTTCTGAGATGTGGGAAATGATATAGATAAAGAATTCAATTATAAAATACTCTACAAATTTGTGGTAGTGGTATTATTCCTCTGTGGACATAGCTGCTGAGGGGGAAGAGAAGGTTGAAGAAAGCAGGATGTGACAGCAAGACTCGAGATTTTATTTATATATATACTTAATACGTATGCGTGTAAGTTAGTATATGTCCTATATACATATACATAGGAGTGTGTGTGTATGGATAGATAGATCAATAGATAGATAGAACTAACATTTCTCCTGTTCCCTAAAATGCTTTTCTCCACAAAAGTTCAGTATGTAAAGTGTGTGTGTGTGTGTATGTGTGTGTGCATGCGCATGTGCGTGCATGCATGCAAATGCATTTGAGATGTGGCATAGAGCAGTGGATAGAGAATCAGTCTCAGAGCCAGAAAGAATTGTATTAAAGTCCCACCGAATCCCACTGGCCATGTGACACCAGCCAAGTGACTCATTAAACCTCTCCGTACTCTAGGCAACTCTCTCAGACTAAAATTTGTGCAGTAGGTGCTGACCTGCATTGGTAGAAGGAGTTTCCTCATCTGGGAGTTCTCTATATGTATAATGTATGTGAAGGTATAGCTATCTGTATCTATAAATACAGGGCAGCTAGTAGCACAGTGGATAGAGTGTTAGGCCTGGAGTCAGGAAGACTCATCTTTCTGAGTTCAAATCTGGCCTCAGACACGTCTAGCTGTGTGACCCTGGATACGTCACTTAACCTGGTTTGCCTCAGTTTCCTCATCTATAAAATGAGCTGGAGAAGGAAATGGCAAACCACTCCAGTATCTTTGCCAAGAAAACCCCAAATGAGTTCACAAAGAGTCAGACATGACTGAAACGATGGAACGACAGCAAAATCTATAAATGTAGCTGGATGATTTTTAAAAAAAAGTTTCTCTCTTAGTATTCATTCTTCTCCTTATTATGTTATTTGTTATATGTGCTCTTAGATAAGGTCCCAAGAGTCTGAAAGTTTGTAGCCGGATGACATTGCTTTGCCAAACACAAAAAGATAATTTGGATTCTGAAGTGCCATTGATACCACTAATGGGAGGTTTAGCCCTTTAAGACCTGTTCTCCATGCACAGTTCTCTGGAAGGAATCATTTATTGGTTAATGCCACCCTGCCATGGCTTTAATTAAAAGAAATTACCCAAGGTGACAAGATGCTAGTTTCCTGCTGATGTCTAAATACCCAAACCAAAACTATGTGTTTGGTTTTTGAGAGACTAGGTTTAGATCCTGAGGTAAAACTCTTTCCTGACAACTTAATTCTCATGGAGAGAGAATGAGAGTTGTGGCTAACTCATATAGTCCAGCTCTCATTATTTCTTTGGCCCTTCCTAGTTGAGTGATGGGGTTGAGTCTTGGATGTGGAGGAGGTCCCTGAGATATGCTTCATTTTTTAGATACTATTTTACCAATGTTCTCCCTCCAGGCACATGTTTACACCACAATAACTGCACAGTCTGTGATTGAGGAAGAGGACTCAAGCAGAGCCTCTGAGGGCACCTACATGACGATGGTGAGAAAGTAGGCATTAGGTCATTACTGAGTCATGTGTCCAGTGGTTCTGGAAGGACCAGGGATTTGAGGAGGGTGAAGACGTAAGTTCACATAGTCAGGGGTTAGGTGGGGATGGGGACGAGGGTGAGGGACCAGAAGATCTGGAGATTATTCTAATTTACAAAGGGATAACTGGATTGGACAATATTGTCAAACATTCTCTTGGGGCATGTTTAAGTAGTGAAAGGCCATAGGCCTGAGGGCTCACCCTAGGTCCACCCAAGTTAGGCAATATCCTGCTAACAGTGTCCATTGAGAATATGATAGTAGGCAAAACCTCATTACAATGACAATGTCATCCCTGGGCGGCCAGCCTGGGAGAAGGGAGTGGTTGGTTGTAATGACATTTATGTGAGCGATTGGGCATGTGATGAGACCCTTAGAGTAGAATTTTATTGCACGGAACTGGTTTTCCTTTTGGCTGAAGTGTTCAGCAGGGTTTATTAAGCCTCAATATTAGGGAGCAGCCTGGTGTATTGCACACTGACTCCTGAATAACAGGATAAAGTTTGATTCTGGTCTTTTTGTTGCTCAGTTCCCCTGGGGAGTACTACACCTAGAGCACTCACTTGGCATTTCAGGGAAGAGGAGAGGGGCTGGTGGTGAACAAGATGCTATTTATAGAACAATTACAGTGAATTACATCTGTTAAGGAGCAGTGTTTGTTCCAGTATGGGTATGGCCTGCTTTTTGTTTCCTAGAACGATGGGGCTTTGTTTTTTCTCCTTATGGCAGCAAATGAGACATAGGAATTCCTACTGAATTCAGCTGGCACAGGGTCTTCCTGAGTAATGCCGAAGTCAGCCAGGGTAACATTGACTCTACCTTGGAGTGTTAGTTGGAGCCAGTATTTTCCCCTACTTCCTGTTATCTGCCATTTTTATGAGCTGGGGCAGTGGCTGCCGGGTCTCAGCCTAAAAAAATCTACTAATGTAACTACATTTTGATTGCAACTGTGTTCTACCAGCTTGAGTGACATGCAGGAAGTCTGAGATGAGTAATTGATGTTGGCGATAATGACTGTGATCTTTAAAGATGATTTTACTGATTTCCTGTTGAATGCTTTGTAAAGTACAGAATACAGGAAATTCAATCCTTGTTTTGTAAGAGATTGATTTCATAACCTGAGAGGATTGGTCTGGAATCTTTTTGAAAAGCTCACTGGCTTCACCATTGAGTTGATGGCCCTCTTTGACTGTGTGGCTTTTACATGTGTCTAATTGGACAGCTAGGTGGCACAGGGTGCTGGCCCGGACAGGAAGACTAAACTTCCTGAGTTCAAATCTGGCCTCATACATTTACTAGCTGTGTGACCTTGGGCAAGTCACTTCACCCTGTTTGCCTCAGTTTCCTTATCTGTAAAAAGGAACTAGAGAAGGAAATGGCAAACCACCCCCAGTATCTTTGCCAAGAAAACCCCAAATGGGATCATGAAGAGCTGGACATGACTGAAAACAACTGAATAGCAACAATTTGACATCAAGGTCTGTCATCTCTACTGTTTCACAGGTATATTTTGTGCTCCTGACAGGTATATTTTGTCATTGTTTATCCTACTTCACAGCAACCAGTTTGGCCTTCTTGGAGAGCAGAGCAGAAGAAATCTTCTGAGATGATGCCAGAAACAGAACAAACTCTTGAAAGACCAAGGTTTGCCACAAGACCCCCAACAAAGGAAGATCTTGACCCTCCGTAGCCCTTGATTCCGCATTTTTCCTGAGCCACAACTGTGGTTGATGTCTTAAAGCTCTCCTGCAGTCTTGTCTGTTTGCTGCTTGGGTTGAGGGGTTGAAAGATGGAGACCTTGATCTGTGATGGAAAGAGACTGGAGCGCTTGGGAGAGATAGTCCTCAGATCAGTAATGGGCCAGAGGTTTGATTCAACAACAAATGCAATTTAGCAGACTGCTCTGCAGTATTTGCTGAGTGTAGAGCCCTCTCGTCCTTGCCTGCACGGAGCTTATGTTATGTCTCCAGAGTGAGCGTGTAATCCTTGTTGGATGGGTACATCAAACTGTTAAAATGGACATTGTTATTGTAGAGTAAGTTATTGTGAAGAAACTTAAAAACAACATAAATCAATTCAAAATGTTTTGTTTTATAACGACTCAAAATTATCTGTAAATAAATGTGTTCAGAGGAAATCATCTTTCCCTTCACCCCTCCCTTTTCTGTCCCTCCCCCCCCTTTTTTTGGCTGAGGACTAGCTGAATGTTGGTTAGGAGACAAGGGTTCTGGTGATGAATTCATAGCAGGCAGCTCCATCAGCAGCATTATATCCAGAAGGGAAGCCGTCCCGCAGCCCAGTGCGTCGTAGGAGTGAGATACGGTGCCTGACAGTGGTGGGGAGTGGAGTGGGAGAAGGTTTTTATCAGCCTGGAAATGAAGAATATTGAATTTGGCCAAGGATGGAGATTTAGAATTCCATGCATGTAATAAAATGCATGGGTCTTTGGTATTACCACTTAGCGATTGAATAGATCTTAGAAATTCTTTTATTTGGAATAGCTCTTTCTAGCCATGAGAATTGAGCCTGTTCCTCGGTGAGGTCCTCCTGGCCTCCCTGGCTCAACATGCAAGTGTGTATTGTCTTTCAAGTTCCAGAATCATTCTGTGCCCTCACATTGTCGTTGCCACTTATTCCAAGCCAAGCTTTCCCTGAACTCCTCTGGCCACTGAGGGTAATTTGGAAATTTTATCTCATCTTCTTGTTTCTACTCCTAGCTCAGTTAGGATACCCTTGGCCTAATCTTCCTGCAGACACTTACTAGCTGTGTGACCCTGGGCAAGTCACTTAACTTCCGTTTGCCTCAGTTTCCTCAACTACAAAATGGAGATAAGGACAGCAATTACCTCCCAGGTTTCTGGTGAAAATCAAATGAGATAATAATTGTAAACCCCTTAGCACAATGCCTGGCACATAGCAAGCACTAGATAAATATCAGCCAATGTTATTATTATTAGCTCACCTGAATCTTTAAGCCTCAGCTTTATCACATAACCCATTCATTTCTATTCTATTCTCTTGCAAAGGACAATATTCATCTTTCATCTCTTACTCATTTGGGACTGAGAGACATCCAGCCTTTCCTTCTCACAGCAATTAGCTTTAATAAAGAACATAAACCAATAGATACCTGGAATGCAATATCCTGATCACACTATAAAAGTAGCACATGCAGGCGTATATAATGCTATTGGTGCTATTGGTTCTTTCTCTCTTTATGTAGTAGAAAAGTATGAGTTTCATTCCTGGTCTGCAGATAATACTTTCCAGAATTAATGGGTATCTGTCTTCCCTGAGATAGCATATTCATAGAATAATGGCATTAAGGATATAGGAGCAGATGGATACACATAAGTGCAAATTCCTTATGTTGTCATTCTAGGCCATTTCCAGCATTTTCTCATACTACTCTCCTCCATGTACTCTGTTCTATCCAAACTGGATTAATCTCCATCCTCTGTATGTTTTCTATACTTTCTTGCCTCAGTGACTTTGCCCAAGCTGTGCTCTGACAGTGTGTTTAACATGTGTCTAAGATGTGTCTAACATGCACAGCTCCCTTCCCATAGCCTTCAGAACTCTTACCTAAAGTCCAACTCAAATGTGACCTCTTCTAGGAAGTTTTGTCTGATTTCCTGCAAATTAGTGATATAATTCCCTGCTTGGACCTCACTTTACTTACATCTGTATTGTATAATATTCCGTATTATAGTTATTTGTGTGTGTGTCGTATTCTGCTACTGGACTGTAGGCCCTAAGACGGCAGGAACCTTTTCTTTTCTAAACTTTGTATTTTTCTTTTTCTTTTTTCTTTTTAGGCAGTTGGGGTTAAGTGACTTGCCCAGGGTCACACAGCTAGTAAGCGTCAAGTGTTTGGTCTGAGGCCGGATTTGAACTCAGATCCTCCTGACTTTAGGACTGGTACTCTATGCACTGCACCACTTAACCTGCCCCTAAACTTTGTATTTTTCCCAGTGCCTAACACAGTGTTCTGTAGACAGAGGGACTCTGCACCTCAGTATCTCTCTCTGATTTTAATTTTAGGTTGAAAAACTTAATAAAGGCTTTTAAAATGGAATTGAACTGAACCATTGATTTTTTTTCTGGGGTCCATCTAAAGAAACACTTAAGAACAGAGCTGAGTGAGCTAGAGGTGCCACTAGACAAGACAGGATATTTTACATAGAAAGTATAGAAATAACCTTTGCTTCTAAAGCTTCAGAATTCACTTTTGGCATATTCCAACCTAGGTATGGGAGAAGGGATTGTTGATAAAGATCTCTTTTAGTACCTTAATACTCAATTTTTTCATAACCACAGGTTATGAAAGTCCGGGAAATGCTCAATGCTGATTTCCTACAACCCTGCCTGAAATCATGAGGAAAAAAACTGTCCTTAGTCATGGATCTACTCATTCCCTAATACTTTCCTATCAGAAGGATAATTACTTCTTAAATTTAAGAGAATTGGGGAAACTTGAAAATATTTAAGTCTATTTCTAGCACCTCCACCTTTTTCATTTGTTCCCCTCTCCCCTTTTTTTTATGAGTCCAGCTGCCAAGTATCTTTTGTCTGTCCTGGGCAGCACTTTATAATGTCTGATTAGCAAAAACATTAAGCAAAGTAGGCAATTGTCCTATATTGATACAGCTCATTATTTCTTATTTACTTTTGCTTCTATTGGTAGCCTATATCAGCAGGAAGCCTTTAAAAGCACAATAATCCTGGAAAAATGTAAACCAGGGAACTCAGTTTAATCCAATGATTTGCATAAATAGGAGCGAAAATGTTCATTTCCAAGTTGGTGAGAGAGGATGGGCAGGCTGGATGATTTTCAAGTTCATAAGACCTGACCCCAAATGTAATGACAAAAATGCCCTTCAGAGCCAAGTATAAGTGATTTATATCCATGTCCTCATTTTTATCCATTAGTGTGAATAAGAGGGAATTGACTGTTGTAGACACTTAGATTTGGAGATTTTTTTTTTTAACCCCGTAGGAATAGGTTGAAAATCTTGAGTATGCCAAAGGAATACATGAACCTTCCAGACCAGGTTGATGTCTTTAGGTGCTTATCATTAGCGTGCTCTTTTTTTTTTTTTGTTTTTGTTTTTTTGGAGAGAGACTGAGTGCTTACATCAGCAACTTAAAAAAACAAAAAACACAACCACAACCCAGTGAGCTGACTATGTTGTGAGAAAAAAGGGAAAGAAGCTAGTATTTATTGCAATTCTTTTTTTTTTTTTTTGGGCAGTTGGAGTTAAATGACTTGCCCAGGGTCACATAGCTAGTAAGTGTCAAGTGTTTGGTCTGAGGCCGGATTTGAACTCGGGTCCTCCTGACTCCAGGGCCGGTGCTCTATCCACTGCGCCACCTAGCTGTCCTGACACGCCAGTATTTATAAAACATTAAAAGATGTAGGAGGCCTCTAGCACTTTGGGTAAAACTTCTGTGGAGCTGGATCCCATTTATCTTTCCCTTGTATGTGGCATCTTCCTGGGAATGTCTAGTTTTGGTCCTCCGTCTTAGGGCCAGTTCTACACTCACTTAGTTGTTTCGAGTTGATGAAACTACAGTTGTGAATTTGAGCCCCCGACTACTGATTTGATAACTTTTCACCAAGGAAAGGTACCAAGAGGTACAGGGAATAAATGTGGTATATGAAACGATGGGATACAAAGTTGGATAGGTAGAGTGGAGCCAGATTATAGAAAGCCTTGAATGCCAGGATAATAACATCCTACATATACTTCCTACTCCAATACAAAGAGGAGAACTGTTAAAGGTTCTGAGAGTAGGGAGCGAGAGAGAGAGAGAGAGAGAGAGAGAGAGAGAAAGTAAGTAATGATGGGCCAGTTTCTACTTTTGCTCATTAATGGGATCACTCAACAGTGTGTAGTTAGCTCAGTGAAACCCATTACAAACCATCATTAGATAATGGTTTACTAACATCACTTTCGTGTATGAAGGATGGAGTGTGTGTGTTTGAGTTCATGCTTGTGTATGTAGGGTTGGGGAAGGGGAAGAGTATCATCCAAGGAATATATTTTTTAATTAAATTTTAATTTTTTCATTTAATAAACTTTTATTTTTTCTTCTTCTCACCTACTGCTCCTTTCCCCTTACTAAGAAAAAAAAAAACAAGAACAGGTGGACTTCAGAAAAACCTGGAAAGACTTGTATGGACTGATGCTGAGTGAAGTGAGCAGAACCAGGAGAACATTGTACATAGTAACAGCCACGTTGTGTGATGACTAACTTTGATAGACTTAGCTCTTCTCAGCAATGCAAGGATCTTCAAAAGTCTCAAGATGGAAAATGCTGTCTACATCCAAAGAAAGAACTATGGAGTTTGAATGCAGATTGAAGCATACTATTTTGTCTTCTTTTTCTTCTGTTTTGTTTTGTTTCTTCTTTCTTGTTGTTCCATCTATTGGTTCTAATTCTTCCTTACAACATGACTGATGTGAAAATATGTTTGATAGGAATGTACATGTATAACCTATATCAGATTGCATGCCATCTTGGGAAGGGAGGTGGAGAGGGAGGGGGAAAAATTTAAAACTCAAAAGCTTATGGAAATGATTGTTGATAAATCAAAATTAATTAATTAATTTTTAAAAAGAAAAAAAAAGATAAAAGAAAAAATCCCTTGTAATAATAGTAAAAAATCCCATGTTGGCCATGTCCAAAAATGTGTGTCTCATCCTGCATATTGAGTACATTAGGAGATGGACAGTATTCATCATCAGTCCTCTGGAATTATGATTGCTCATTGCATTGATCAGAGTTCTTAAGCCTTTCAAAATTATTCATATTTACAATGTTGTTATGGTATAAATTTTTCTGATTCTGCTCTTTTTAGTCTGTGTCAGTTCATACAAGTCTTCCTGGGTTTCTCTGAAACCATCGCCTTTGTCATTTCTTACCACATAATAATATTTCATTACATTGATATAATTTGTTCAGCCATTCCCCAGTTGATGGATATTTTCTTAGTTTCTTGTTCTTTGCCACTACAAAAAGAGCTGTTATAAATATTTTTGTGCCAATGTCCTTTTCCTCTTTCTATAATCTCCAGAAAGCAGGCCTGGTAAGGGTATCTCTGGATCAAATGGTATGTATAGTTTAATAACACTTTGGGTTTAGTTCCAAGTTGCTTTCCAGAATGGTTATCAAATTTACAGCTCTAACAGTTCCAATATTTGTCATTTTCTTTTTTTGGGAACTTAACCAGTCTGATGGGTTTGGGGTAGAACTTTGCAGTTGCTTTAATGTGCATTTATTTATTTATTAGTCATTTGGAGCATTTTCCTGTGGTTATTGATAGCTTAGCTTTTGAGAGAAATGATTATTAATATCCAGTTAATATTGGGGAGATCCATGGTTTTTCCCCCTTTCTGTTTCCTCATTCAAAGCCCAGTCCTTGTGCCTATCACATTGCTGATAGATAAAATTGCCCAAATCCTCTGGGTACATGCTTCTCACCTTACCCAACCAGAAGACCTTACAGTCTTCTGAGAATCTAGTCTAGGTGAATAATGGCCCATTGTGTTCTAGTCTGGCAGGATTGAGTAGATCCCTTTTGTCTAGATTGTTGGAGGTGGGGTGGGCTGGGTGTAGAGATAGTCTCTTTGTCTAAGAGTGACACGATCAGAGTCAAGTGGAGCCCCCCCCCCCCCCCCGTCTTTAGAATAAGCCCACCTCTCATTATAATATTAATTCTCTAATTAATTGTAACCAATCAGAGTTGATTTCTGCATGTTGGAAATACCCACTCTCCAAGGGTATTTAAATGTTGAGCAGCCTCCATGATTCTTCTTTGGCTTCTGAGTGTGCCACTGACCTCTTTTGTTAATTATTTGCTAGCCATAATTAATAAAATAATTGTTAATTACCTAGAAATTATGTCTGTTGCACTTTTCATTCAACAAAGTTTCTTCCCTTGGTAACTCTCTGTTTATATCTTTTGACCATTTATCAGTTGGGGAATGATGTTTATTCTTACAAGTTTAAATCAATTCCATATATACTTTGGAAATGAGACCTTCATCAGAGAAAATTGCTTCAAAGATTATTTTTTCCTAGTTAACTGTTCCCTTCTAATTTTAGCAGTCTTGGATTTGCTTGTGCAAAAACTTTTAAATTCAATGTAGTCAAAATTATTCACTTTGTCTTCTGTGAACACTTATCTCCTGTTTGGTTATGAACTGTTCTCTTAGGGATAGACCTGAAAGATAATTTCTTCCTTGCTCCTGTAATTTGTTTATGATGTGACCTTTTATATGTAGGTCATGTGTCTATTTTCCCCAGGACTATTTGAACAGATTAAGTAATGGAAATTTCTCATAGAACTTCATATGACTCCCTAAATGCTCTGCATAGTTGCCAATATAATCTTCCTGTAATATTGACCTCATTCCTTCTTATCCTAGATGCATTAATGTTGTCTGTGCAGAAACTGTTCAGTTTCAAGTAATCAAAGTTATCTATTCAAGTAATCAAGGTTATCTCTTTTATCTTTTGTAATTGCCTCTATCTCATTTGGTTAAGAATACATCTCCTTCGTGATCTCATTTAGATGTCATAAGTCTTAACTTTAATTCCTCCAGAAATTTGTTTAGTTCCATATTTTTACCTTTTTTAATCTTTATATTAGACGTCTCCAAAACTGGTAGAGAGATATTGAAGTCTCCTATCACTATTGTGTTACTATATAAATCTTTTTGAAGCTCAGAAAATATTTCCTTTATGAATTTGGATGCTAAGGCATTTAAAGTATATGAGTTTATTACTGATATTTGTTGTCTATAGTTCTTTT